AAATGCCATTTGAAGCTGACAGGATGGAAAAGATAAAGAGATGAGGTAAACAAGGGTATTGTAAAATATTAGACCTAGAAAGCGTCAGTGTGTCGTCTTCTTCTGTCTTCTTCTTTATGGTTGAAAATTAGGTAATATTTATAACTTAAACCTATCATCGAAATTAAGGAAATTAAGGATGTTCTTGTCTTACTCTAAAAGACAATGAGTTTCTTATTCTTAAAATTATCTTCATTAAATTCTTAAAATATGGACATTCACATCTTGCGAACGCTTTAATTATTTAACGAGGATTTGCAATTCTTTCAAAAAAGTAGATAAAAATTATTTTATATTTTTTAATAAATCCCACTGTAAATTCTAAAACTTAGAAAAATAAAATAAAAATGGATTTTAATTATACAATAGAAACATTAAATAGTAGACAATCAGAAAATCCTATTCTCAGTTTGTAATGGTTTTGATTGCAACGTGCAGATTGATACTATGTTTGAGAAGTTTTAACTAAGTGGGAAATTGAAAGAGTTGATTAAAACTAGAATATCAAATATAACATGGTAATTATTAAAACTACGAAGGAAAACATCTACAGGCTCCATTCTCTACGGGTCAAATAATCCACTAATTAATTGATCAAGAATACAATAGTAGCGATTTTGTAATTTCACAAAATTAACAAAGAAGAATCAAAGGAATTAAGAACAAATCCCTTTGTATCTCCTTGTGTTGACTTGGTAATGAAGTGAAATTAAACCCACCAATTTTGACTTCATCAACACTTCTTTATTGTACTTATCCATTATCACTACTTAAATTAAGAATCAATATCCTTAATTCATGCCAAGCAACTTGATCAATGGATGTGATTTCGCACAAGTTGTTTTGTATTCTCCAAATACTTGAACGGGATGTTTAACTTTCGAAAATAATCAATGAAATATCAAATCCATATGCATTTGCAAGAAAACGGCAGAACTGCGTGCAACTAGGTCATTGGATGAATTTCATTTTCAACGCTCGATTGCATTCTTGTTCAATTACTTCACGTATAGGTAAAATAGTTATAAAATATATGAATTAATTATTACTTAAACAGTAATCATTCAAACACAGTAAGAAGATTAGTATAACAAATAATATACTAAGAGATATTCTTGATTTGTTAATAGATTAATGTAAAAAAGACAAATATTAATTTAATCTAACTTTAAATTCACCTATTTAGCTAGCCTGAAAATATCTAAGATGGAAAGTAATTTATTCTACACGAGCTGCAATATTATAATAAGAAATCTTATCTTGTAAAATATAGAAAACTTAAGTAAATGCAGCCTAAAGATTCTTTTCAAAATACTTACCATTCAGCCATTTTGTATTTTCTACTAGTAGGACCTGAAAACTTTTTCACGATTTTGATAATTAAAAATCAATAGGAATGTTAAGCTAGCCAATAAATAAAGTTTGTAAAAAAAAAAAAATGACAAATATTTTTCCTACACTAACAATAATTGAAAAAATTTAATAAATTTATTGAAAACAAATTTTATTTTATTGTCTTTGTTGCTGCAATCTCGAGCCCCTGAATGTCCATTGCAGCAACATTTTTTTCTTTTTTGGTTTGTAGCCTATAAAATTTCTAAAAATTAAACGGTATATTCAGGAGGTGGATCCAAGAACAGATCCAAGATTGGGTTATAAAATTTCAAGCCGAGCTAATACGTGAAAAAAAAAATAAGAGTTGGAAAAGATTAACTAGTCAAGCGGTCTTCCATGTCAAACAAGCGACCTCTAGTCAAATTACTGAGTTGAACTTTGTGGCATCCCATCTCCCCTCCAAAAGAAAGTTTTTGACACCTCGACACATCAACTATTATTATCAAATGACTATGCAAGAGTAACGCTATTTTTAGTGAAGATTTAAGGTGCTGATGTGTCAAAAAATTAGTCGAAAGGCAATCAAGGAACAGTTAAAAGGACCGTAAACCTTGACTTACCTCAACTCATATTGACTCTTATTGAAGTGAGCTGTGAGCCCAGTTGGTTATTGTGGCTGCAGTCAATAGCAATGGTGTGAGATCTTGAAATGCTTCTGGTCTAATTCGTCTAGGCGAGAGTAACATAGTTTTACTAAGAGTTGGGAAAGATTAACTAGTCAAGCGGTCTTCCATGTCAAACAAGCGACCTCTAGTCAAATTACTGAGTTGAACTTTGTGGCATCCCATCTCCCCTCCAAAAGAAAGTTTTTGACACCTCGACACATCAACTATTATTATCAAATGACTATGTAAGAGTAACGCTATTTTTAGTGAAGATTTAAGGTGCTGATGTGTCAAAAAATTAGTTGAAAGACGATCAAAGAGCAGTTAAAAGGACCGTAAACCTTGACTTACCTCAACTCTTGTTGACTCTTATTGAAGTGAGCTGTGAGCCCAGTTGGTTATTGTGGCTGCAGTCAATAGCAATGGTGTGAGATCTTGAAATGTTTAACTCTCAAGAACGACACAAACTACTTTAAAGATCAGATGGTCCATATCAATTCAGGTGCTACTAGGATTAACGACCCGACTACATCACCCAGGATCCAATCATTCAGGGCTAGTGCTCGTAAAGGCCCGCGTCCTTGCTAAGATTACCGGTAAACCGTGCTAATGCACTTTACTATTTATAGATTACTTCATGGGGTTGATGGACTTAGGCAGATTCATCAATTTCCAGTTTCCATCCTACAAATCGGCTCATCGAGCACTAGCCCAGAAAAGTGACTAGCTTTTTCTCGGTGGGGCTATCACTGGCTTCGACAGTCGAACCACTTTGTCACCACAAATGCATTGTCTATTTCAAATGGGATAATCCCAATTCTTTATGCATCATGAATACAATTATCAGAAGAGAAAAAAATAAAAAAACTACAGCTAGCTTGGTTGTGTGCTCCAAGTCAGCTGTCAACAAGGCGTCGAACTAAAGACATAAATTAGGGACAAAATCAGCAAGTTCATGTAACTACACATTGATAATATACAAATCAGAAACTAAAAAAAATCATACATATATATAAATCACCATCTGCAATTTAAGAATTATCAGCCTTAAACGAGCAGAGTTTTCATTACTTTTCAAAACATGTCAATACCTACGGCACCACCGCAGCCTAATGAGGAGGCGCAGGCACCATCCGCCACCAGCGCAGGCACCATCAGCCTCTTCATTGATGGCAATCATAGCTCTAATTCTAAGAATCATCACATGGGTTTGTCTCATAATTTCAACCATCATAATAGTAACAACTACTGCCACAATAATAGGCACTTATCAGACTGTCGAAATTCACTTCAATGATATAATTGCTTATAGGTAATTAAACTACATTCATCTTAAGAATCATCTCATCTAAAAGCTTAGGTTAAACTCTTAAATGAGTTGATCTCGCAGCTACCCTTTTAATTATGAGTTGTACGATGAATAAGCATGTTGAAAAAATATAATTCAAAAGAAAAATGAGTTTGATCACTTTATAAAACCTAAGCTTTCCAATAAAATACTTCGATATCGACACTTTCTGTGGATTTTGATCACTTAACAGGTACGTACTAGTTGTCAATGTTCTGGGACTGGTGTACACCAAATTGCAGTTACCATCCTCAATCCGCCTTGTAATCTCGGGAAATCCTCTGTGGAAGAGTCCTGGTTTCCTCATGTATGATTTTCTCGGTGACAAGGTTAAGAATCTTTCCTCTTATAACTTCGTATTTTAAACACACCTTCTCTGCACCATTGATGTTATCTTGTAATTAAGTCAAACATGAAGAATATTTAAGTGAACAGTAGGAAAGAAAGTACATGTATGCCGGATAATATTTAGAAATATGAAATGTTAAATTGTTTTTGATTTGGTCAATTTCATGAATCGAACAGATCCTTTTATCACTATTAGCAACTGAGGTAGGTGCGGCATTTGGTGCTACACTGGATCTCAAGAAAAACCTGGATGACTTGAATGATATCCTTCTAGAAAACTATAAGAACACGGCCCTTTCCCTAATTCGAGTAAAACTCGATGATTTTTTTAGCAAGGCCTATGTCTCAGCAGGATTCCTTCTCATTGCTTTGCTCACCTCAGTAATTTCGTCTGTAATTTAATCTTTGGATCTCACCAAGACCTACTAATAAACAATAAGAAATCTTTTTAATGATGTATATGATCTTATACAAGAAGAGTGAATGCATTTCTTCTCATTTATCGTGATGATTTTTTGGAAGGTCCTGTGGTTTCTACCATTCTTTCTATAGATATATAAATTTTGAAAGAAGTTGAAAGGGGTAATTGCCTTCGAGTTACCAAATCTTCTGTATTTTCTTCAACAATGCTATGGTGACAGAATTTTTTTTAGATAATGGATGATCGACACTCACATTGGCGGAGGGCCCATTTCTTTTTTGGACTTTTTTATTCACATGAGGCCCATGTGCTGTGAGAGGATGTCAACCATTATGTTAAAAAAATTCAGGTGAAGTAGTTTAATTCTATTTTCTTTGCATTGAGCATTGAGTTGAGAATTATAAACCTTAATTCTAACCCACCAAGAGCAATCAATTTAAAGAAAGAAAGTAAATAATCAAGAATAGGTAAGATTTATAGATGTTCATTTCAATGTGAGACCACGTTGTCTCTCGTCACAGCAGTAATTCACTATGATGAAAAAGGTTTACCAAAGAAAATATCAATCATATCTCTTCTAACCTCTATTTCTCTCTATTTGATGATAATACATAAAGACTAGAGATTGCTCCCTCTTTATAAGATAAATTAGGGTAAAACCAAAATTTACAAGGACTCTTATTCCTTCATATAATTTTACAAAAATATAAATTCCTAATTAATCCTAATTTAAAATTCTTATCGAGGGTTGTTTAACCCCTCCAACCCCCACGGCAACCTCTTTGCTGAGGTGTATCCGTGACTAACTCTACAAAGTGGCCATAATTCGGGTTAAACAACAATTAGGCTACAAAAATTAACAATCTATTATTTGGAGACTAATTCACTATCAATAATTCTTCTGCAACGGCAACAACTCCTCATTCCTCAAAATAAAAGTTCAACTCAATCAAAATAGTCTTTGTCAACATTTCAGCTAGATTCTGACTCTCTTGAATCTTCTCTAGTGTTAAGATTCCATCCTTCAAAGCTGATATGTTGAAATAATAATGGACATGTCGATGTTTTGTCCTTGCATGATAAATAGGAATCTTAGCTAAGTCAATAGTGCTTTGATTGTCACCATGCAACATACTATTCCTATACTTGTTACCCAATCCAAAAAAGACTACAAATCTATCATCGCTTTGCTAGCTTTACATACAGTAACATACTCATTCTTAGTAGTGGAAAGAGCAACTATCTTCTGCAACTTAAATACCCAACTAATTGTTGTACTATCCAAAGTGTCTCTGTGTGTGTGTGTGTATTTCCTAACATGTCAACGTCTATATATTCCTGTAATCCCAAACCTAATCTCTAAAATATGAAGCTGACCCTAAAGTACCTATCAAGTGTTTGAAATTCTACTTTACTACCCTCAGCGCTGTTTGCCTGGATCGCTCAAATATCTACTCACCACGGCATGTGCTGCGTCCGATCTTGTACACACCGTGGTATACATAAGGATGCCAATAACAGAGACATAAGGCTCCTTGACCATAAGGCTCACTCGTCCTCTACAAAGGGTGACTGCTTATTTGATAGACTGAAGTAACTAGCCAAAATTGAGTCCGAATATTATCCCACAGAGTTTGATTTAGTTCAATGTTATTTATCCAGACCTTAACCAAAACTAAATTTTAACAAGTGATTCAATAACCTAATTACTCTCTAACTTAAACTAATTATACATGCAATGAACAAAATGCAAATTGATGTTTAAATTAACTAAAATGCTATTGAGTGTTGAGAACGCAATTTAATGTATTCAGTGATTGTATGACACATTAGGATCACGAATTATGAAGTAGTGTTCAATTTAACCCTAATTTCACAAATTGACAACACAATGAAATTTTGAAGAATCAATGCTCCTAAATCTATCCAGCACACTCTCTCAAGCGGCATTGAACCTATTCCCCTTCTCTTGAATACAAATATAAGTCATCCAAACTCACACAATTACGGGTCCTTAATTGCACAAGAAATCAAATGCATATAAACCATTCAAAATAATCAAGCGTGTTTTAATGTCAAAAATATGAAACAAGGAAATAAGAATCACATTACAATGTTCATCGATCCCCTAGCACATAAAAATATAGCTTAGCATGATGGGAAGAAGAAAACAAACTAAATCACAAAGAAAAGACATCATGACTTTAAATCTTGAATTGAATCCTTGCGTCTTGATGCCAAGCGTCTCATTCTTGCCTTGTTCTCCTCTTTTAAAACCCTTATAAATGTGTTATAATGTGTGGTGTATGCTTAGGGATGGCCCTAGGATTGTAAAATACCTCCAAAGATTTGTTTTTAAGTTAGAATAGGGAACCAAAATTTTTTCGCTGCGATTGGCTTGGGCAATTACCCAAGCAAAACCCAGGTAGTTTTCCAGTTCAAAGTTTTCTTCTCTGTAGTTATTTCTTAACGTTGGGGCAATCACTCACTCTAAACAATGGGGCTGTTGCTCAGTTATAAAAACTCCCGAATATTGCATTTTAAGCCCTGAATTCGATTCTTAATTCTTTCAAGTCCTTTCTCTTGCATTTTTAACCCTTTGACTTTTAATCGCATCTAATTGAACCTGCAACACCTTTAATCATCATTTTGTGGTCCAAATCAATTATTGAACTGCTGTAATTTAGTCCTCATACTTTGGATTTCCTCCCTTTTTCTTTTCTTTTCTCTTGAATTCTGCCATATCCATCAATATAATTCAACAAAACAAAATTATACAAAATTAAGCCAAAATCCAAATGCTTTGATCAACAATTAGTCAGGTTTTATGGACCAAATAAGTGTGTAAAACATATTTATCACTCTTTTATGTGACAATTTCAAGACATCATCGTCCCTAATAATTCTCATCTCAAGTCTTTCATTGAAAACTCCTTAGATAACTCATTTTTCAACTTATTTATTTCTTGCTTGCAAGCAACTGTAATTAACATGTCATCAACATATAGTCGCAGCAAGATTATATATAAGAGTTACCAGGGTTCTTTACATAACAACAGTGATCCCCTTGACACCTACTAACGCTATTACTCATAAAACTATCAAACTTCTTCTACCAATACCTTCTTTATGTTGAAACCCATTTACCACCAGTCTTGCTTTATACCACTTACTTCCATTATGTTCTTCTTTTAACCAGTAAATCCATTTATTCTAGAAAGCTTTCTTTTATTTTGGTAACTCTGTTAATTACAATGTCCTCATGGCTAACACTCACTTGATTGATTCATCAACAAGAAAAGCTTCATTATAACTCTATGGTTCACCTCTATCAGTTTGTAGAGGTCTATTAGTTTTGTTGTATCTTCTGGATAATGTCATAGGGATGTCTTAATGCACTTCTAAAATTATAATTTCATAATTTTCTCCATCAACATTCTCTAACTCAATTACTGGACTTTTTTTAATGGGATCATCTTAAATTTATAAACTTCAAGACTTGAACTTTTAAGATCTGTTCTCAACATGTCCTTATACAAATTACTTTTTGATGTGACCCGTGGCATGAAGGGAAGTTCGAGTAAGGATTCATTAATCATTGAAGAAGGACCTATGACTAGGTCACGAGCAAAGACGGTTA